GTTGAACCAAGGTCCTTGACCCAACTGGGCTACTCTTTGTATGTAAGTGATAATAATGATGATGATGATGATGATGATGATGATGATGATAAACATTCATGTGTGCTGTTTTAAACTTTACAGAGCACTTAACATATATTTTCTCATTTACTCCTCACAACCCTAGAAAGTAGGTTCTGTTATTATTTCCATTATATAGATGAGGAAATTGAAGGTAAGAGAAATGAAGTGATTAGCCCAGGGCCAACAAGGTAGCAAGTTTTCTAAAGTAGCTTGTGAACCAGGATCTTCCTGACTCTAAATCCAGCGCCATACCCACTGAGTCAACTCTTCTCCTGACTCAGGCAGATTATACCTGGTCCCAAGAGTTAGAGGAAGAGAAAGGTGAGAAGTGTGGAATTTGGAGGCAAAAAAAAAAAAACAACCTGCACTAGGGTAGGGAAGAAGGGGTGTATGTACTGCCTTGCCCAGAGAGTGAGAAGGAACCAGGAGTTACCTGTTGCCTGGTCCTAGATCATTTAATGTCCAGAAAACATGAAAAATCCTATCCTGTACTTATTATTATTGCATGTGAGAGGCACCAGAGAAGGTTCTCTCCAACCACCACCTCTAAAAAAAATTATTCCTCCACTGATTCCTGAAATTCCACCCCTGAGAATTGATTATAATAATAAGAATTAACATATTGAGCTTTGAGGTTTACAAAGTACTCTACATATATTATCTATTTGAACTCTGCAGCAACGCTATGAGGTAGTTGTTATTCTCATTTTATAGATGAGGAAACTGAGGTCAAGGGCAAATGAATTACCCAGGGTCACATAGCTTATGAGTGACTGAGACAGGATTTGCACTCAGGTCTTCCTAACTCTAAGTCCAGAGTAGATTTTGCTCTCCTTGAGGTCCTATTAAAATGAGAATTTTCTTGAGAAAATTAGCATTAAGTCACTAACCCTTTGGTGTGTACCACAGTAATAAATGGAACTATTAGGTATTTCCAAGAAAGTCTGGGAACCTCTGCATCAGCCTCTAGATGATAGATTGTTAAGAGAGAGCCAAGACCTTCAGGGCCATCTAATCCAACATACTTGTTTTACAGATGAGAAAACTAAGGGCCAGACAGCGACCTGCCCAAGGTTACATAGATATTAGGGCTCAACATCCTTCTAGGGACAGAGGCCTGGGATTCAGATTCTTTCAATCCAGGGGGGCAATGACCATTTCCCGGATTGTATACGTGCTAGCTGATGCCTGGAAGCCCTTTGTAACTCCAGGAATCAGCTCTAACCCAGAACCTGCATTTCTCACACTGGATTCAGATGCCTCTACAGCCCTGGGGAAGGGGACAGAAGGCAGAGGCAGAGCCCAAGTTCTCCTGAGGAGGGGCTTCTCCCTCTAGCTTTAGCATTGCTCTCCCTGCCTGCCCTTCATGCTGCGGTGCCCAGGCTATGCACCCTCGGGGCAGGGTTCTCCTCCTGGGCTTACTCTCTTCTGAGCATTGCTGTGGGATGGGCATTCTCAGGGAAACCCACTCATCACATTGAGTCAGTGTGTTGGGTTTGATGCCCCTCATTTGCCCCCAGGGCCCAGCCCACCCCTGAGTATGAAAACAGAAGGTCCCAGTGTTGACTACTCTTTTGCCTACATGCAGCAAGGAGAGATGGGAGGAGCCAGAGTGGGGAGGGGCGGAAGGCTGCCAAGTGAGAAGCAGCAGGGCATAACTAGCAACAATTTGAGTAGGGGAAAGTGTCTCCCCCATCCATATCAATTGCCACCACCCTGCAGCGTTTCCGTAGAGACTCAGAAGCAGTAATTTCTGAAGCTTTAGACCTTACTACTTTTGCTGTGCTTTTTTTCATGAGTGACTTTTCTGAAAGAGGTTACCCAGGAGTTGCCTTAGATGAGGTGACATCATCCCCCAGTTCTCCAGAAGTAATCAGGGTCTCTTAAATCATCCCAACTGCAGCCCCACCTCCGCCATGATACTCAATGATACCTACACTGCTTCCCTACTGCCTAGGAAAGCATACCACACCTCTACCCCCTACCGTGGCAGGTTCTTGTTCCTGGAACTTGGCCCTTTGCATCATAAATCTCCCTGTAGCCAGGTGGCTTTGAAGTGGGTCTGGGCCGTCTCTCTGGTCAGGGTCAATGATACTGAGCCCTGTAAGGACAGTCAGTAGATGAAACACCTAGAGTTTCTACCCTCACTGAGGAGCAGCAGGACCTAAGCATCTCCATATTTCGAAAGGCTTGAGTAAAGAGACTTTTTTTTAATCATTATGATTCCCTCCTCCTCCCTCCCATCCCTGGCTTCCTATATTTTCCTTCTTCTTCCTCTTCCTTGAGGAATCATTCTTCCCTCCCCCCATCTAGTTCCCTTCCTCTGATCAGTGTTCCCTGCCCTACTCTTCCCCCCACCCCCAACCAGAAAGAACCAAAGCAAGACAAGACAAAGGGAAAGACTATAGAGACAGAAATGTTCCATCTTTCCTGTCAGTCTGTACACCTGCCTGCCTGCCTCCTCGTATGACCAGTCAGATGGATCACAGACGTGACTTCCTGAAGGCAAGGGCTGTAACATATAGAGCCTGAAAAGAAGTCACCATATAGCCCCAGCCACAGAGCTGGCTTCCCAGTACACCGTCCTCCTTGTTCTTCTGGGAGGCACCATGTCTCGCGGTTAGTTAGCATTAATCTTTGGTCTTCTGCCCCCTACACACTCACCTGATTCCTGACCCCCTACCCCTTGAAGGCTCTCAAGTCTGAGTCTGATTCTTGCCACCTCTCCTTTGAGACAAACCCTCCTGGACCTCAGCCTCAAGTCTTTTCTGTGGTCCTGAGTCCAGGGCCCCAGGCCCTCTGATCCACTCTCGAGGGGCACAACCGAAACAAGCCCAGCTCCTCCCTCTGCCCTCCTGTTCCAAACCTCCTCTAAAACATGGAGGGCATCTGCAATGCAAAGCCCGACTTGTTGATGTAAAATCATAATCTATATTCCACCCAGGTTTATACGAGTGAATTATGCAACTCTTTGATGGAAAAATATTCCTCCTCACATCCTTGAGAGTGTAAAACCTTAGTCAATAATTCATACTCGCATGTCTCTGACTGCAGGCTTTTTCTTCATTATAACTTGCACCTAGTTATTTGTCTTTCGCATTTTATTGTATATCCTGGTGTAATGCTGCGCATTATAAAATTTATCTGCTTCATTATTTGATGATCCAGGACTGGGGAATGTGCTGAGATCCTACCACACTGGCAGAGAGGCCTAGCGACTGGGTCCGCTGAGGCAGGGCTGCCTCTAGTGATTTCAGGGAAGCCAAGAAGGCCTCTCTATCAGGAAACAAAAAACAAAAACATACTTGTCCCACCCACAGGCTGAGCAGCCTGAAATGCCATCGTCACAGCTGACTTAGGTTTAGTCTTCCTTAAAATGCAAATGATCCAAAGGCAACATTTTTAATGTTAATCATGATAAGGTATTATTAAGAATGATAACTCACAGTTGAGAAGCAGCAGAGAGAGCAGGCTCAAAGTCTGGGAGTCCTGGGTTCAAGCACTGCCTCTTATCCTCAGCAAGTCCCGACATAGGGAAAGTCATTTAACCTATTACTACTGTCCCAGGCGACTCTAAGAGGCAGAGCAAGGGTTAGTCTGTATTGGGAGAGGGAGTTCTTTTCTGAGAAATCCTTACATCAATGGTATCAACACTGCGGCCCCCCCACCCCGAAAACCTTCACACATAGCATATTTTAAAGTTTATTAAGACCTTCATCGGTCATTTATATTTCACTTAGCTTAAGTTTGCCAAACCCTGAGAGGAGGGTCTAACAGAGGAAAAGGGATAGTGTGAGAAGGACCCTGGATGCCTAAAGTTCAAACAGAGTCACAACTGGGGGAAGGAGCTGCCCCTGGTGATGCTAGCTAAAGAATGTTCTCTGGGGATTTCTAAGATCAGAATCATTGCTTGGGTTAGGTAAGGTCTTGCCTAAAGAGCGTGAGGATACACAAAGTGGCCTTTGAAGACTATTTCCATCCTGATGAAGTAAGAGAGGTAGGATTGGTCTAACAGGCGGGGCATTAGTTGTGCAGTCAGGAGACCTGGGTTCCAATCCTGAACCTACTACTTAGCAGCTATATGATGTTGTACACATTATTTAATTTCTCTGAGCCTCAGTTTCCCCATATGTAGAATGAGGTTATTGGACTTGATGAATCCTTCGTTCATCTTGAATCCTTCCTGTAATCCACAGATAAACACAGTCTAGTGGGGCCTCTGGTTAGATTTCCCTAGGTAGAGCCCCTAGGTAAAGGCCCCCACTTTCTTGTGAAGACACACATCCTTGGACCATTCCCACAGTATTGAATTCTGAGGAAGAATGCAAACACAAGCAAGGTCAGAAAAGAAGGGGGTCCCAGCACATTCTGCAGGGAGAGAATTCCTTGAGTCACATGGCCCTACTCAGGCTTCACAGCTTGAAATCACGCAGAGCTCACCACCTTTCAAACTGCTGCGATAACTTTCCTCTGAGAGCTGAGACGAGTGTCCAGGATCAGATCACCAGGGTCCAGAGTCCCCAGCCCTGGCTCTTAGGGTTGGCCAGAGAAGCCGATGGGAACATATCCCTGCTACCTCACTTCAGCTGATACCCTTCTTCCACCTTGCACTTACATCTTTATGTTGGCCTGGCAAGTTTGACAGCTGACTTTGCTAGTTATAGAGTGACTGTGTTTTCATCTCATGCAATGGTGCTATATACTAAAGGCCAGAATGGCAGGTGAGGAGGGAGGGTGGGAGTGGAGGATGCATTTCCCTACTGTCATTTGTGAGCTATCTGAATCCCTGACAATTTAGAATCAGATATTCTGAGAAGGGGACAGCAGCTGAAAGCAGAGAAGGAAGCTTGATCTTACTTTCCTGCCAAGATCTCCTATCCTAGGTTCTGAGGTTGCCCCCTATTTATCTCTGACTCTCTTTTTCCTTCTTTCTCCAGTACCAGCCATGATTACCTCACACCCTAATACTACCATCGCCATCAAGGGTCACACAAAGGAACTGAACTGCACTGCACGGGGAGAGCGCCCCATCATCATCCGTTGGGAGAAGGGGGACACGGTCATTGACCCAGACCGAGTCATGAGATACGCCATCACCACCAAGGACAATGGTGATGAGGTCATCTCTACTCTTAAAGTAAGTAACTGTCTGCCCACCTTAACACCCATACCCAAACCTTCAAAGTTCCCTTCAGCTAAATTCATTAACTTTTTCAAGTATCTTCAGGATAGGCAGATAGGGTGTGAATATCTGAGACCACAATGAGCACAAAGGGTCTCTGTTCCTTTTGGGAAAATCCCTAGAGACCAATGTCACCAACTTTCAAACTTAACCCAACAGGTATCCATTCAAAATTATTTCCCGGATTGTCTTTGACTGGGTTGGCATTGGAGAGATGGAAGGGAATGGAGAGGAGGGACAATGAGAAATTATCTCACTGATCTCCCTGACCCAGAAAGGGTAAAGCAACCTATTTGCCCAGCTTCTATTTCTCCAATGTGGGACTTCTCAATACAGAGTGAGAGATTGCCATTCAGTGGGAGGTCACATTAAAGCAAATCGGCAAGAAAACTAGCACAAAAGCATGCTGACTATAGACCTGGAAACCAGGACTGTGTCATGACCTGCTTAGAGGAGCTGGTTTCCTCCATCTCTCAATCTTTCCATTGGAGTGAAGCTATATGGCAAATTCACCTGGCCTTCATTCCTTTCCCCTGCAGTACAGCTGCTTTAATTTGGTAGTGATTGGGTTTCCTCATCCAAGATAACCTTGACAACTGGCAGGAAAATTGGAGCCCTCTCAATCCAACACAAGCAATAGATTGTACCCACACTCCATCCTTCCTTCCTGCCCCCTGGAATCAGTATGAGTTGCTTCTCAGATTTTAATAAACCTCTTTATTCTCAGAATATCACATCTCCTTTCCTGGAGCCCTTGGTTGACAGCATATTTAGAATTCCATAGCATTTCCTCCAGTACTTAGAATACCATAGCCTAACCCCATGCTTGGAACACCACAGGTTTCTCCATAATTAGAACCCTCAGAGCTTCCCTGTTTTTACTCCAAAAACGTTCTTTTCCTAGCATACTCAGGAAGCCCTCCAGCATCCTCATGACTAATCTATCTGCTGCCTTTTGTCATTTCCCCTATGTATCTGTCTCTGGGGCCCTGTTCTCATAGTGACACAGCCCTAGTGTCTCCCTTACCCTTGGATTGAAATGGCATTTCTCCTTGGGTAGAAGATAGCATTCCCCATCCCCTTTTTCTATGATCTTTTTTGCCTCCAACTTATTGGGATCATAGGATCATAAGATCACAGTCTTAGAAACAAAAAAGACCTTATAAGTTCCTTCCTTTACAGATGAGGAAACTGAGATTCAAAGAATCTTAGCGATTTACCAAATCACACAGATAGTAAATGGGAGAGAGGTTCTGAACTAAAGTCTGCTGACTCAAAATCTCTCACTCTTTCCACTCCCCCAGACTTGTTTGAGAGCAAGTAATGGGAAATAGGATCAATCTGCCATGTCCATGGACCTGAGGTGATTTGAGGAGGAACCACAGGAAAAAAAATCATACAAAATGTCCCACCTCCACCCACCCCCCAAAACTGTGCCTTTCTTTGACTCACTCTGAAATGCTCCCTTGTTTCCCTTCCTTCTCCTTACCCCCTGTCATTATCAAAGCTGAAGCCAGCTGACCGTGGGGACTCTGTGTTCTTCAGCTGCCATGCCATCAACTCCTATGGGGAGGACCGGGGTCTGATCCAACTCACTGTGCAAGGTACCCTCTCTGTCCCTTCCCAGCCCCCCCCATCAAGGGCTGTCTCCTACACTAGCCCAAAAAGGAAGGAGTGGGCACCAGACATGGATGAGGGCAGGGGGAGTAGAAAGGGAGGGAATTGCCCAAAGGCGTTGATGTCAAATTCTCTTTAACTGACCCTCTGGACCAGGGTGGGAGTCAGAGCTACACCAGCTCCAGGCTAGGATGCAAAAGTTGGTGATGACTCTAGCCTACATTGTGCCCATTGGCCCATTTCACAAATGGGTATAAGGGGCTGAATAGGACCAGAACCTTCTTTTTGCCTCTTTGGGAGAAGGATAAGAAGGAAATATAAAGCCAGTAAAAGATGGGTCCTGTGGGTGGGTCTCTCCTTGGCAATGTCAGAGGATATTATCCATTAGGGAGAGTTCTTGGCTCTAGAGATCTGTAGGAAACTTAGCCCTCAGTGCCCTTCCCCAAGTCATGGAAGAGATGAGAACGAGGCAGAAGTCACAGGTAGGATTTTAAATTCAATTCTCAGGCCACAGTGACTAGATCTCTCACCCAGACCCCAACCAAAGGCTGAAGTTCAAACTGGTCAAACCAGGGGCATCCATCCCTCCTCAGGGAGAGGTAAAGAGGGTCCAAAGCCCTCCATAAAGGGTGAGGGTGAGAGGAAAACCTCACTGTCATTCACTGGCTTCCCCTCTACCTTTCCCCTACAAACAAAAATTCCAGAGCCCCCAGACCCTCCTGAGCTAGAGATCCGGGAAGTGAAGGCCCGGAGCATGAACCTGCGCTGGACTCAAAGATTCGATGGGAACAGCATCATCACCGGCTTTGACATTGAATATAAAAACAAATCTGGTAGGTACCAGCTGTGTGTGTTTGTGTGTGTGTGTGTGTGTGTGTGGTGGTGGTGGTGGTGGTGGTGGTGGTGGTGGTGCTAGGTGGGTAGGGTAGGGGATGGGACTGCCTCTCTCTTGACAGCCCCCTGGGCTGAGTGCCCTGCACCATGTCAATAAAACAAATCTCAAGGTCCTCTGAGTTCATGTTGCCTTATACACATTATAGGTAGGGCTATCACTATTCCAAATCAAAGGAGGAAAAGCATTGTTCCTTTAAAACTATTGCTGAGTTTGGGGACCTGAATGGGGAAAGGGGACTTCAGTTACATTTTTAACTCAACTTTGTGGCAGATGGACATGTCTCCCTCGTTTGACCCTGGAGCCAAAGTCAAATCGGACAGTCTGATTAATGGGCAATTTGCCCACTCCCCTTGGGTGAGTCGCCACTTTAGCCAGATGAGTAGTAAAGCTGGCTGGCTAGCCTGAAGACCTTTTGGAAGGGGCGAGGATAAAGGACTAGTGGAGCCCTGAGAAGGATATAAATGTTTACTGGAAAGGCTAGAGTAGGACATGGAGAGAGGAAGTTTGTGGGAACAGGGACTGAGAGAAAAAAGGAGTAGAGAAACTGCTGGACTCTGACTCCAGGCAGATGACATCTGGAGTATTTTATTCCACACTGGGCACTACATTTTAGGAAAGATATTGACAATGTTGAGTATATTTAGAGGAGGATGATGATCAAGATGGTAAGGGATCATGGGTCATTGATTTAGAGCTGGAAGGGACCACTGGGTAAGGAAATTCTCCCAAGATCACAACAGCTAGTAAATAATCTGAGGTGGGATTTGAACACGGATCTTCCTGATCCCAAGTCCAGTGTTCCAACTACTCCACTATACTGTTTCTCCAAGGGGACTGGAAGCCAACTCATACAAGACTCAGGATATGGACATATTAGATTGGAGAAAAGATTAAAATAGTAAAATTGGAAGGATAGAGGGTAGGAAGAAAGGGAATTACAGATGGAATGAGCATGAGCAAAGGTTCAGGGTTGAGAAATCTCAATACATGTTCAGGACACAGCAAATATTTCATATGGCTGGGATGTATGGTGCACAATGAGAGATGAGGCTCAAAAGGTGAGTTGGGGTCAGATGGAGGGTCTTGAATATCAGGCTAAGACATTTGGATTTTTTCAGTAGGCATCAGGGAGTCATTGAAGGTTTTAAAAAGCAGATTGATACCATCAATGCATTGTATAAGGAAAACTTATTTGGCCTTGCGTGCAGGATAGATAGGAGGAGAAGAAATTGGAAGTGGGGAAACCGATTGGGAGACTCTTGAAATATTCTAGGCACAGAATAAAAACCTGAACTAGAGTTGTATCAGGAAAACTGGAAAGAAGAAGTATATTAGTGCTTCATGAAGTTGGGAACAATCCACCTGCAAGGTAGGCAGGGCAGGGATATGAGATCTAGACTGACATTTCCATATGGCAGTGCACATCCAATCTCCCCTCCATGCTGATGTGGGGTGGCAGGATCTTCACTCACATCTGGGCATTCTTATCCAGAGGATACCTAGGCTGTCACTAGATATTCCCCCCCACCCCATTGCTCAATAAAACACCTCATGCCTTCTCCTACCACCATTGTCTTCCTTCTACCTGTAACCAAGTGTGTGGAGTCTCCCTGAGGCATTACCTGGTTGGGCTATTAGGGTCTTAGCAACAGAAGCCGAGAGGAGATCACACCTGAGATTCTAGAAAGGACCATAGATGAGAGGAAGGGGTGAAAGTGATGACAGTTCAATTCAGTTCCATTCCATTCAACCTGACAAACGTTAATTAAGACCCTATTGTGAATAAACTGTTTATACCCCTTTGACCCAAAGATTCCACTGCTGGGCATGTATCCCCAGAGAAGATCTGATATAGAAAGAAATATCCCATATATAATCACACTCTATGTAGACCTATGATATATGCGAAAATATTTAAACTAATTTTTTATTCAATTTTATTTTTTCAGTTTCAAATTCTCTCCCTCCCACTCCTTCTCCCCCACCCATTAAGAAGGCTAGAAAAACACAAAGCAATTTCTATAGTAGCAAACAACTAGAAACAAAGTAAAGGTCCATTGATTGGAGAATGGCTAAAAAACTATTTTACAAGAATATAATAGAATATCATTGTGTTATGAGACATAAAAAACATGAGAAATTTGGAGAAACTTGATTTGAACTGATACAGAATGATATTGATGTATGTATAAATGAGCTAATGGATGTAAAGCTAAAGCCTGGGCAAGTCACTTAACCTCTGTCTGCCTCAGTTCCCTCATCTGTAAATGAGGATAGCAACAGCACCCATTTCACAACGTTCTTGTGAGAACTAAATGAGATTTTGCGTATCTATCTATACACACACGTATATATATATATATATATATATTTAGCTGTGTAAACCTTAAAGCACTTCATATTATTAATGAATAACAAAAAAAAAAAGGCCATTCACCATCCTAACTGCCTTTGCCAAGATAGCCTCCAGTCTATCAATACCCTTTCCTAAAATGTGGCATGCAGAACTGAACACAATACTCTAGGTATGTTCCATCTAAGACAAAGTGCAAGGTAACCATCTCGACATTATGCCTGGCTACAATGCCTCTCTTAATGCAACCTCAGACTGCAATAACTTTCCAGGATGTCACATGACACAAATAATTTTTTTTTTTGAGATTGGGTCTCCCTATATCATCCAGGTTGGAAGTACATTGGCCACTCAAGATGCCCAGTCTCACTGCTGGTTGACATGGAGGCACTGATCTGCTCCATTTCCAACCTGGACCACTTTTCCCCTCCTTGGGCAGCCTGGTGCCCCCCCCATCCCAAGGGTTTACCATGTTAGTGCCAGATGTGGTGCAAACATCCAATCAGCTTAGCCTACCATGAGTCAGAACTCCCAAAAAGCTCAAGTAAGCCACCCACTTCAGTTTCCCAGCAGCAGGAATTATAGGTGTGTACCACTGCATCTGGTGACACTGGTGAATTGTACTGATACTATAGGCCACTAAAACCTATACATCTTTTTCAGATGAACTGTGGCCTAGCCATGCCTCCCCCACCTTGATTTTTCAAGGTTTTTTTTTTCCTCAATCAGTTTTGGAGTTTGTCCTCCAAAGCAGCTGCCAGAAAAACAGCCTATCCAAAAAGTTGCCCACCATCTACTTCCTTCTCCCGTCTGTGTCTCATTCGTTCATTGTTTTATCTTCCTTCAAGGTTTATCTTCCTTCCTTCCCACTTCCTCCTGGGAGTCTTTTCTGATCTCCCAGTTGTCACTACTTTATTCCTCCATGCTTATTGAGGTGCGTGTTGCATTGTCCCTAGAATAGAAACTCCTTGAAGGCAGGCACCATTTCATTGATGTCAGTACCTTTGTAACCAGTATTTTTATATGTTAATGTGCAGAGGGAAGGGAGGAGACCAGACCTGTGATTTCATTGGTGTAAGGAACTCCCAGGATTAAAACTCCCTCCACCAATGTCTTACAGTGTTGTCTGGGAGGTAAGTGACTTATCCATGGTTATGTGGCCAATATGATAGTAAGGCATGCTCTATTCACACCCAAAGCTCTCACACAAGTCACTTAACCTCTTGCACAACTCTCTAAGAATACAAATTACAGAACATTGATGAAGAAAGTTTTTTACCAATGAAATCACAGTTCTGGACAAAAAAGGTGGGGGGGAGAGGTAGAGAGGAAAGGGATGAGAGTAATTCTCATCCCAGGATGTACTGGCACACTGAGCCCAAACTCTATGTTATACCTATAGTCAGAAATAGGATTTGAACCCAGGTCTCCCTGATTCCATTACTCCACACACCCTCTCACCTTGAATATCATACCTATTTAATAAATATTTCTGAAGTTAATTGAAATCAGAGCTCCCTAAGCCAGACAAAAAGCCCTGTATGGGGCAGGGGGTGCCTTTAGATGGACAAAGTTGCTACAAGGCTGCCTTCTTACTCAGCAAGGACTTGACTTCTTTAAATATCACTGGATTTCAAGGCTAGAGGGGACCTTAAGAAACCATTTAATCTACTTTCCTCCTTCACATGGAATTCTAGTGAACCTAGAACACACAGCAAGTGTTGACCTCATTTTTAAAAACCTTTAGTCTTTGATGCCAGAATCTCCATCTCAGTGTACAGCCCTCCTCTCGGGAAGTGTTTTCTTAGGTCTAAACTCAAATACCATGGGTTGTAGTTGATGCTCCTTTGAGCACAGCTGGTTGGAAGCCTCTACAGAATAGCAGCCAAAGGTGAGGTACCTGAGGTCTCCAGGCCACATGTGACCTTCTAGGTCCTTGGGTGTGGCCTTTTGCCTGAGTCCAAGTCTTACAGAACAAATCCTTTTATTAAGGGGATTTGTTCTGTGAAGTTTGGATTCAGTCAAACAGCCACACTTGAGGACTTAGAGGGCCATATGTGGCCTTGAGACCGCAGGTTCCCCACTCCTGGCTTCAAAGACCAGGTTACTGATATCTGGGTATGTAATTGAATATGAGTTAATCAATAATGTGTATTAAGTGACCTTTTTGTTGTTGTTGATGTTGAATTTTGCACTAGACTTGTGCATAGGAAAGGCATGGAAGACTGGATGTTGCACTTACAGACCAACAGAAAAGAGAATACTACACACACACACACACACACACACACACACACACACATACATCCTTTACCTAGAACCATATGCAATCAAGTGAAACATCACCCAGATTGTTACTGCATTCACTTCGATATTCAGAGGAGCCAAGTGGTCATCAGAGAAGGCAAAACACTAGAATTAATACCAGTCTTTGAATCTTAGCTTAGCTTAACTAGCCATACAACCTTAGGCAAATGACTTTACCTCTCTGGGCCTCAGTTTCTTTCTCTGTAAAATGAAAGGAGAAAACTAAGATATGATATATAAGGTTTCTTCCAGCTCCAACATTCTATGGTCTCATGGGTTAATATGTATATGCGTAAGGTATGTGTTTATGTATACAGCATTATGTCTTGCTATATGTGTGTGAGAACATATATGTCTATGTGTTTGAGTGTTTTCAGGAATCTAAATAAACTCCTGCTTATTATAGGCGTAATTAATCCAGCAACCTTCTACCAAAACCCACAAACTTCATCTGGTCATAAGAAGTAACTTTAAAATAGTTTCCATCCCCGTTAGACAGGAGCTCCCTCAATTAATGTGACAAGACATTCTTCTAAGTGTTCTACCTCCTCTGCTTCTCCTAGACCCCTTGCCCCCATATATCTGTCCCCTGGGGCAAAAAAAAAAGTCAAGAAAAACAACTCCCTGCTCTAAAAACCAACCTAAATAACTATTCTTTTGTTTCCTCTTTTCCCTCCTTTCCTTTTTCACCCCCAGTCCACTGCTTCTAGACCCTTTTGGAGCATAAGATCATTAGCTTTGAACTGGGAAGGGAGCTTAGAGATCATTAACTCTTTCACCTTCATTTTATAGGAATGGAAGCTTGGGCTTAGGAATGGAAAGTAACTTTCCCAGTATCGCACAAATTGTAAATAGCGTAACCAGTACTCAAACTCAGGTCCTCTAAGAAAGCTGGACCATGTTCAGTCTCCCAGGACTGAGCCCTATGCCTGAGATCTCAGCCACTGCCCCAATGGGGGCCATGCCGCCTTCTATCACTTCCTCATTTCACTAATTTTCCTAAGGAATTAACCAAGTCTGCCCCTTCCAAGCCATTGTGCTCATGCTGGCTTCTCCTGGCCCCAGGCAGCAGAATAATAATACATGAATACTGAATGATAAATAGTACCATCCATACAGATCTATCAGATAGCCCAGTGTAGATTGTAAAATGCAGCACAAGTCTGTTCTTTGTTTCCCAAGCAAAAAAATGCAAGTTTCTACATTGAAGGGATCCCCACAAGCCAAAAAGTTGCCTGATGATGTAGTCAGCTATTGCAGTACTGTGGACCACAGTTATATCAGCCGGTGTGTTGATTGAGCTATGTCAGTAGCTACCATTCTAGGTGTGTTGAGCTGTTTTGGCTGGGTTAGTAGTGGTAAGTATTTTGAACTGCTGCTTCTTATGTTATCTTGGTGTGTGCTGTGGTAAGTGTTGTGAGCTAATACATATGGTCAGAGTTGTACTAGAGTGTTCAATGGTGCTTTTGCAAGCTGGTGTGCTATGAGTTGTGTTGAGTTTTCTAAACTGTTGTTATGAGCTAGTATGTAGTGAATTGTATACTGTGGTTAGGGTTGTAAATTGGTCTATCGTGAGTTGTGTTTACCCATGCTTTAGTGGGTATTATGAGTGACATGATGGGTGTTGTGAACTGCTATGTTGTGAATTGTATTTATATATGCCTCAGTGGGTATTGTGAGCTAGTGTGATGTGATGCCACTATATTGGCATGTGATATGGTGGATGTTGAGAACTAGTGTTATAAGCTATGGTAGGGGTTATGATGCTGTGAACTGCTTTTGTGATACAAGCCTCATCCTCTGCATACCAGAGAAGCATTGAACTAACATGGCTCCAAGGCCCAACAGAAAGAGGAAATCAGAGATGCAGAATAGATTTGTTTCCAGAGCTTGGGCAGCCAACTGGCACAGATGCTGCTTTTGTCCCAGTCATTTTCCTCCAGTGTGAGCACATCAAGCCGGCACAACTCATGTTAGCAGAGCATTCCATGGACTTGAGGGCAATGACGTCTCCCCAGCCTCCCCCTTGGGTTTTTTTAAAAGAATGTTCTGCATTCTAGGCCCTTTGATGAAGAAAGGGAAAGAGCAACCTTAATGAAATATGTTCATCTCAGTTAACTGGGCCCATATGAAAGGGAATACTAAAAGACCCAATATTTGCCAAAGACAGCTGAGCTGCACTGAGAGCCGTGAAAGGCTCTAGAGAAGGGAAAAGAATACACCCTGTGATTTCTGCATCTCAGGGTCAGAAGACTGCTGTAATCAAGTTTGCAACATCAGCCAGATGTTCCCCAGTCTGACTTAGATGCATTAGAAGAAGAGATTGGGGGTGGGGAGGCTAAAGAGAGCTGTTTCTCATCAACATCAAAGAAGGTTTCAGAACAAGAGGTCAAATTCACCTGCAAACTTTTAGCAAAATCAGCACAGACAGGCTGCTCCCTGGAAACCTCCTGCTGCCCTGTGATTGGCAGGTGGAGACTGATGCAGAAGCCAAGAAAGTGGGGGGGTGGGCAGACAGGCAGGCAATAAGTGGTTACTGTGTCCTCGGGGTACACAGCCTCATACCAGGTGTTTGGGGTCCAGAGGAGAAAAATACATGGACAGTCCCTTCTCTCAATCAGGTCATGCATAAACATTCTTTGAATACCTACTATGTGTCCAGCCCTTCTAGGGGATGCAGAAGAAGTATATACCCTAAGCTCTGAGACCTTAACATCTAGCTAGGAAGTTAAGGCATACAGGAAAGAAAGAATACAAGACAGCCTATAATGAAGTACTAAGTTGTGTGTATGGGGGAGGGAGGGAGGAAAGACATAAATTCTAAGAGCCATAGGAATTCTGAGGAGAGAGTGATTAAGGGGAGCTGGAGTAATAAGAACAGGCAAATAAGAGGAGGTGGGAATTGAATAGGGTTTTGGAGGGTAAAAAGGATTTGGATACAGTGTGACAAGATTTCAGAGAATAAATAGGCACCTGAGCACTCAATCGGGATTCTGGACTTTGTGCAAACCTTGTGTTTGGAGCTTTTTTTCATGCTCTGCATCATATTAAAGATCCTTGTCACAAAGGTACCATGGGAGAATGCAAAGAACACTGGACTTAAAGTCATGATTTCTGCATTCAAGATGCATCTCTGACACTTCCTAGTTCTGTCTTAGGCAAGTCAGTTGGTTCTGTGTGCCTCAGTTTCCTCATTTATAAAATGGAGATAATACTTGTATTACCATCCTAATAGGAGAATTGTGAGGATCAAATGGGATAATGGATTTAAGTGCTATATAATTATAAGTTCTCAACATTGTCATTACCATCATCATCATCATCATCATCATCATTGGTTCTTTTGTATCCTAAATTGCTATTAAACAAGATTAGATCATCCCACCTTGGCTCAGACACCATGGTTTTTTTCCTTCTAGGTTTTGAATGCCTCCTTCCTCCCTGAGGTTCATAGGAGTTAGGGTCCTTTCAGAGTATGTTCTCCTTACCCCTTTTCCTAAGCTCCCCAAATTGCCCTCTTGGAAAATGAAAAATTTTAGTGCTTGGGGTTGGGGCTGGGACTTCATTCAAAGAGATTTGGGGCCATATGCATTACTAGTAGTAAACTCCTTTGTATGGGGACCAATGATATGAGACTTGTGTCCTTTTCTCCCCTAGATTCCTGGGACTTCAAGCAATCCACCCGCAACATCTCACCCACCATCAACCAGGCAAACATTGTGGACCTGCATCCTGCCTCTGTTTACAGCATTCGCATGTATTCCTTCAACAAGATTGGCCGCAGTGAACCCAGCAAGGAGCTCACTATAAGCACAGAGGAAGCTGGTAAGTCCCTCCATTCCCTTAACTATTCCTCCCCTCTCACTGCTGTCCCTTTCATGAAAGGTCTGAGTTTCCCTTTGGTGTACTGGGGTCAAGGCTGAGGTTCCAAAAACACCAAGAACACACATTGACCAGGTTCATCAACAACTGGGCAAAGATCCGACTGGAAAGGTAGAAAAAGGAAGTGGATAACCACTGTGACCTTGGGCAATTCACTTCCTTTCTATGGACCTTCATTTCTTCACCTATAAAGTGAACTTAAACTGATAATCTTTAAGGTTCTAAGATGCTCTTTGTTAGTAATTTTGTGGTTCTGATTCAGATTTCTTCTCTCAGGTCTCTCATAGCTGTCCTTGGTGCTTACCCAGCCTTCCAGGCAAGAACCTGAACTATGTATGGTTCTGAGTGGTGTTGTATATAGCTCTATTCTTTCCCTAGCCCCAGGCATGTTTGAAGAGGGTAGATGTACTCTATCTGCCTGGTCTAGAGCCAGGGCAACTGTGGAAAGAGTCAAAGGAATACTTTCAACCCCTGAAGGGTTTCAACCTCTGACTTCTGCTAAAAAATTGCCAAATCATCACTCTTCCCTGAATAGGGCCACCTCTTCACCCTGGAGATTTTGATGAATTGTGGTGCTTGTATATAATCTTAGAAGACTGATTCTGGGCAGAAACAAAAAATAGACTCTTGCAGTGCAAGGCACCAGAGTGGAACAAATTCACATGGGACCAATAGATGTGTCTCTGGCTTTCTTAAACTCTTAACCATTAGGAAAAATACATGGCCTTCCATGTCTTGGTTCTCCCACAAAGAGCCAGTGGCACTGCCATAATCTGAAGGGCACTAAAAGTGACACCCTACCCCCAATCTGAAATTCACTTTCCACCCTCAGTCTACCAGAGTACCAGAAATTCTCAGCATTAATGTCACTGCTTAAGGGTGAAAGCCCATTACTACCCCCAATCACTAGGAAGAACAGGGTCCTGAGGGACTTGGACACAAGTTGTAAAAGAATAGAAGAGGAGGTTAGAAGCAGGGGTACATTATACAAGGCTGGGTGAGTTCCTACACTGAAAGCCCCTTGATGGGTACTTGAAAATGCTGAAAGGGGGTGGGTGTTAACAAAAGAAAGGGTCTTATGAGGTACACAAATAAGGGATTTTTTTGCCTAGGCATAGCCTTATTGTGGCCACCAAGTCTAATTTTGATCTCTGAGTGGGAGCATCTGACTTACAAATTAAAGCTGTTGATTTGTGCCCCACCCCTACAAACGACACACACCTTTCCTGACAAGAGAAGGCCAACTGTTACCTCCCATGGACAAATGGGAGACAGGTCACCAAGAGACTGAGGCAATTGTCCCATTATTGTCCAGGACAATGACTTCAAGGCCAAAGAAAATATCTGGCCCATCTCTTTCACCACATGATCCCTCCCTGTATGGTCTCTAGATCATCTGCTTACATTTTTTGTGTTGCTGAAAATAACTTGCAGAAGTTTTTTCATTGTTACAGAAAATTAGTTACAATTCAGTCATTTGTCTTAAAGTCCTAAGGTTGACTACAGATAATTTCATTCAGCCCTCGCTTCTAGACTTGGTAAAACTGTCCATGATTCTACCACATGGCCTTAAAATTCATATTTATCCAGAGAAATTTATCTCGTGCTTTTAAGATTCCCTCAGGGCCATAGATACCCAAATCCCCATTGATAGACTGTCCTAGCATTTACTGGCTTCCCGCCAAAAAGTTCTTCCTTTTGTCTAAACCAAACCTAGCTTGCTGTCATTTCAGCTATTTAAGGAGTGTGAAAGAAGAAATATATTCTTAGGGTACTGCTAGTTTCAGTGCCAAGGAGTGAGGACAAAGCTAAGAATATTTCCTTATTATTAAGCATTTCTCTACTTTCAAGTAGGGAATTTGGTGCCTTTTCTGCCTCTGGACTGCCCAGATGTGGTAGAAAACAAGGGCAGGAGAAGTCTCTCTTCTGTTTCCTGACATAGCATAATTGTGCTTTCCCCTCAGCTCCTGATGGACCACCCATGGATGTCACCTTGCAGCCTGTGACCTCCCAGAGTATCCAGGTAACCTGGAAGGTGAGTAGAGTTGGCAAGAACTTTGGAAGGAGAACCTCAGAGTGCAATTCTTCTATTTGGATTATGAATTTCCTGTTCCCCACCCTCATGTACATATAGTGTTATGCAGAATGCTCTCCCTCCCCAACCCAGTAATATACTTACCCAGAGGAGTGTCATACTATGTTGGGAGATTATTTTCTATTTAGGAGATTATTTTTATTTAGGTTCCAATTTGCCACTCTTTGATTCCTTTTAAACACACTGCCAAGTTCCTCTCAAACATAGCAAGATTAAGGGAGGGAAAAGTGGAAAGTGATTCAAATATCCAAGGTTATCAGAAATCAGGAAGTTAACCCCCCAGCCACTGCTATGGAAATGGACAGAGAAGAAAGGTGTATTGCCCAGCACACTAATCTAGTTTGGAAATGTACCACCATCATAATTGATTAGGAGTTGGATTTGGTTTTGTGTTAACTTGAAAAAGGCAATATATGGTTTTATGAAAACTGTACTGAGGATCAGAAAGTCACCTGGTTAGAAAGGACCCTAGTTTCATCTCTATCAACAAGTGGTATAGCAGAAAGAGCCCTGAATATGGACAGAATTGAGAGACTTGGGTTTAAATCTTGGCTCTGCTTCTTTCTAGCAGAGTCTCTAGTTACCCACTCTCCTGGGCCTCAGTTTCCTCATCTGTAAAATCAAAGCTTTGGGCTAGATGATCTCTTTGGTCCCTTCTAGATTTAAATGCTATGATCCGTGCACTGAATCAGTCTGATCCAATTAAACGAGCACTTGTGTAAGTATCTAATGTGGATGTAAGACAAGATTCTGGGGGCCAGAAAGTGCCAGGGATTCATGGACAAAATTAAAATCTGCCTTTGCCCTCAAGAAATTTCCATTCTACTGGGGGATATAACATATAAGCACATAAGTATGTGCATGATTATTTGAGGAGAGAGAGAGAGAGAGAGAGAGAGAGAGAGAGAGAGAGAGCACTAGAACCCACAGGATCAGAAATGGTTTCTCCTATCTTCGGTGGCATAAAGACTGACACATGAGTTGAACCTTGAGCAAAGTCAGGGATTCTACAAGGTGGAGGCAAGAGGTACATTTAAGGCATATGGAATGGGGAGGAGCAAAATACATGAAGAAAAGTGATGGAATACTGAGCTTGGGGAACAGCCGATAGGCCAATTTGACTGGAATGGAAAGTGTGTGAAGGGGATTAATGTGAAATAAGCCTAGAAAAGTAGGCTGGAGGCAGACTGTGAAGGACTACCTTGCTGTGTGCCCTTGGATAAGAATTCAGCAAACATTTATTAAACACTTAATACAAGACAAGAAGGCACTCAGCCTCTGTGGACTTATTTTTCCATCTGTAGAATGGAGATGAGAACATAATCAAAGAAGATCAGAACAGGTAGGAGGAACCTTGGACATCACCTGGCCCTAGGCCAACCCCTCTTTTTATAGGTGAGAAAACTCAAGCCCAGAGAAAGTGAAGTGACATGCCTAGAGCCGCACATTGAATTAGTGGTAGGAGAGAAAATAGAACCAGGTCTTTGGGGTCCAAGTCCTGGACAGACTTTCCACTATCCCAGGTTGCCTCCGCTCTGTTCTCTCTGTATCTTAGGGTAGCTATGAACAAAGAATAGATGGAAACATTCTATAAAAGTTTAAAGGGACAGGATTTAGGTAATAAGGGAAGAGATGGGAAGAAAGAGACACTGGAACTATCTTCCCTATTGAGGATATAAAAGGACTGATGGACAAACTGGGAATAAGATAGTGTCCTAAGCCAGAGTCTTTCATGCAGGAAAGAAACAAGCGCATGATTCTCCTTGTTGATCCCTGGATCAGAATAGTGATGATTTGGTGGTGATTTGGCCCTCACCAACCAAGACAGTTTGCTGGCCTACAGGCTATAGTGACTTGAAAGAAAATATTTTAGCTATCACTTTTTACTGCTCCTGAGTTCTCTAAAAGGGTAGGCTTGGAGCAAGGTCAAGAATATAACTGAGAATGACATGCTGGTCTCTCCAAGAAGGAAATGAAAGTCACCCAGGTGGCCCAAGACTCACTCTCCCTAAAAGAAATGACAAGAAGGGAAGTAGGTTGGAGATCTGGACCAAGTCCTTCCAGGAGGGTACCTAAAACAGTAAAGTCCAATGAATGCCAGGATGTCCTCAGATTCAGAGCACTGACCAGAACTCCCAGAACTGACTCTCAATGACTCAGAGACTCAGAAACAAAACCCATATCTTCATGCCCTCCTATCCTGTCTATTCTAAAACTTATGTCCTTCTCTTAGAAAAGCCAGTAGATCTAAGGGGGTGGGGAGGACTGGGCAGAAGAGAAGAACTAAAATATGTAAAATGTTGAAATATTTGGCAACAAAACACAGGCTAGGAAGTCAATAAAAATTTAGAGTCAGATTTATTTCTCCGAAGTCACATAATGAAAAATAAAATTGATTAGAAAGTTAGAACTTCACAATGAACCAGTCAGTCAATAAATTTTTGGTGAGCTTCTTCAGAGATTTCTTTCTTTCTTTCTTTCTTCCTTTTAGCACCAAGAAACAGATTAATGAAAAATAAAGATACACTTGAAAGATAAGTCACTTATTTTAAGACTCTTTCAGTGAGATGGATCGTCCTGGCTTTATAACATAAATTTGCAATCAGCCCTATTGATTCTTAATACTTCAGAGAAATATTGTTAAGATTGATTTAAAACCTCTGTGTGTGTGCGTGAATGCGTGTGTGTGTGTCTGTGTGTGTGTCTGTGTGTGTGTGATATGTGTGTATCAGGATACATGTAGGGATGTGTCAAGATCTAAGGAGAGATGGGAGTGCATGTCAGGTTGGTGGAGGGATTTGTGCTTCTTTCAAGCCATGTGCAGATACTGTATGTATGCCAGTGTGTTTAGAAATGTGAGTGTTAGGGTACATGGAAATGAGTCTACACATAGTTTATATGTGTATATATATATATATACATATATATACGTATATTTATGTCTGTGCCTCAGTTTGATGTTAAGTTCCAAGTGCAGAAGTGGACCTACTTGCTGAGTAATAAGGAGAGCCCGCCCAAGTGCAGAGAAATGCTTGATTCAGGACAGAACAAATATTCCACTTTTTTGTTAAACCATCTCCTTGAGACAAGAAGAGGCATCTCTCTTCATTCTTTATAGAGATGGGAGACTATAGGTATAGAACATTGTGTATCCTGCCAGACTCAGTTGACATGACTACTTTTTTCTGAACTGCTTTTTTCTCTCTCTCTTTTTATTCTTTGTTCCAAGAGATGGCTCTCTGGAGAGGGAAGGGAAGAGGAATATATTTGGAAATGAAGGTGATATAAAAACAAAAGATAACAATAAACATTTAAAAGGCCTTCCTAAATTAACTTAATTTAAAAAGTCATTTTATTAAGTTAATAGTCTTTTAAAAGAAACAATGAAATCAATTTAAAATAATACTTTCAATAAAGTAAAAAAAAAGTCAGACTACTTTTTTATTAACCTAATTGTGTTTAAACACAATAAAAGTTGTGTGTTTTTTTAATTATCTTCATTGTTTTCAAGCCCAGCATTCACATTCCTAGATGGGCACACTTAGTTCCAGTGGGCCAATTTCCCTATGCACAGAGACATAACTAGCTATTTTCCCCCTGGGAAAGGAGCCTAGAAACCCACCTTCAAAATATGCAAGGGAAGCCATAGGGGAAGACAGGAGGAAGCAGCCATGGCTTGGGGAAGAGTTTGTTGGGGGTTCAGCCACTATAAGTCACCTGGTAGCTTCCCATTTTCTTTCTAACTCTTTCTTGTTAACTAGGTACTCAGCCAAAAGACTGCATGTGCTGTCCAAGTGCCTTCTAAATTTTAGCACTCTGAGCCAATATCCCAGTCATCTTAGGCTAATTATGAATGTGTATGGAAGCCTTAATGTTGGAGTGTATGTGTGAGGGTGTGTGTGTGTGTGTGTGTGTAGGGCTGTCTTAATGATTATCCACCCTTGACAGCCTGTCAAGACGCAAAGGAAGTTCCCACAATTCCATTTTTTCCCCACATTCTGGTTATATTTCCTGTTCTCATATTCAGATATACCTACCAACGCACCCCACTTCCCCAAGCCTTCCCTCTTCTTCACCTGAGCAGCAGCAGTGTGTCTGAGAACATTCAAACCAGAGCAATCCAAAGTACTCTTCGTGTTCAGTTTCAAACATGCCACGTCCTCTCTCTCTTACTCCTGTTGCCTAGTTTCTCCCAAGCCGACAACTTGATGAAGACGGGACTTTCCCCAGGGATATGAATCTGTCCTCCTCTGTAACTGCCACCCCTCTTCCTACCTCTCTCAGGCTCCAAAGAAGGAGCTCCAGAACGGCGTGATCCGGGGCTACCAAATCGGTTACCGGGAGAACAGCCCCGGCAGCAACGGGCAATACAGCATTGTGGAGATGAAGGCCACTGGAGACAGTGAGGTCTATACCCTGGACAACCTGAAGAAGTTTGCTCAGTATGGGGTGGTGGTCCAGGCCTTCAACCGGGCAGGGACAGGTCCCTCATCCAGCGAGATCAATGCCACTACACTAGAGGATGGTGAGGAGGGTCCAGGGGGAGGGGAGAGGGACCAAGGCTGCCATGGGGTAAATGGAGCTAAGAAAGGGACGGGAGTGATTCCAGAATTGATCACCGGTTCATGAAATGCCAGAAACAGGAGATAGCTGAAAGGGAGGTGGCTTGGCCTATTAGATTTAGAGATAGAAATACTAGGGTCAAAAACTAACTCAGATAGTTACTAGCTTTATGAACTTGATCAAGTCACCTGACTGCTGTCTGCCTCAGTTTCCTCATCTGTAAAATGAGAATAATTATAGCACCTACCTCAAAGGGTTGTTATGAGAATTTAACAAGATAATATGTGTAAAGTGCTTTGCAAAGTGCCATATAAAATGTTAACTACTATTATTTTAATATTAATATTATTGACAAATACTCTTCTGTTCCCCAGATAGAAAACACTAGATAGTACTTCATCCTTAAACATGAAGAAAGAGAGCTTTTGGTAACCCTCAGGAGATAGTCAAGGATTAGTCCCAGCCCCCTAAAAAGAAAGGAATAATTTAAGACCAGTTCTATCTCCCCAGAACCATGAAAGAATTTCCAGGACAGCTAGGAGGTCCAGAGGACAAAGCACTGGATCTGGAACTCAGGAAGATCTGAATTCAAATCCTGCCTCAGACACTTATGACCTTACATGTATGACCCTAGGCAAGTCATTTAACCTCTGCTTGCCTCAGTTTCCTCATCTGCAAAACAGGGTTGATAATAGCACCTACCTCCCAGAGTCATTGCGAGACTCAAACAAGATAATATTTGTAAAGCATTTTGTAAACCATAAGGTATTATATAAATGCTAGCTGTACTCACTATTTTCCAAAGCTGGGGTTTCTAATTACAAGATCTGTTACAGATCAGCCCCCAAGTCAGGTCTCTACCACATAAAAACCAGAATCAGTGACTCAGAATCACAGAATGGCAGAGATGGAAGGACCTTAGAAATCTTCTTTAGCTCTCTTATTTTACAGATAAGGAAACAGAGACCCAGGGGGGTTGGTCACATGGTAAGGGGCAAAGTTGGAGTTCAAACCTAGGATGTCTAATCCTAGTGCACTTTTCACTAAACCAGGCTTCTGCACTGGTAAGGCAGGCTGGACTATTCCCAGAGAAGAAGTACACTATTTGGTGTGATTTTGGGGTTACCAGGAAGTTCACATAAACCCCAAGATTTTCCCAGTGTTTATCACCCTGCCTGGAATTCTACCATTGGAGATTTGTGCTCAGTATTGCCATCTCCCCATCTGGTCCTTTGTTACAGAAAGTATTTGCTCCCTGTCAGGAGCCAAGATTTGGAGTTAAAAGGGACCTTAGCAATGATGACCTAACCTAAGCCTCTCATTTTCAGAGGGCAAGAAACTAACCTAAAGTCACACTGGGATGAGGGTCAGAATTTGCATTCAAACACAGAGTCAGAAGCCTTGGACTATAGTACTGTTTCCATACTGACCTGCCAGGAGGAGTAAATTCAGCAGAGACCAGAAGCAAAGGCTAGAGCAACCTGGGAATAGTGAGTGGGTACTTGGGAAAGGAGGAAAAAGGGAAAGAAGTGAAAATGGCATAGAAACAAGAGGATGGCATTCCCATAGGTAAACTTCCACAACTTCACAGCTTTCTAATTAAGACCCTGTCCTCCTCTCCCATCCTCAGGCTTTCCTCTGCTTCTGCCCCCTGAAATGAGGTCCCCCTCATTTTATATTTCATACATGTAAATGGAGATAAACTATTCACTCCCCAAGAGTTCCAATGGCCAACCCAGGGCCCTTTGGAGCTATTGCACCCCTTGCCTCAATCATTTCCACTCACCCCAATGTCCCAATCCATTTTCTGATTGTCATTCTTTCACCTCCACCAATAACTCTCACTCCCCATACTGTGACTGTATCCCTACTTCCATTAAGTAGATAGTAAACCTCCAGGCTCTTTTAGCAGTTCTTTTTCATCTGAGACAGACCTAGGGAGGTAGACTGCAATGTGTCAAGCAGAAGGTGAAGTCCTCTCCCCTTCCTCAGCATCGTTGTTCCCCTCATTGAACTCTAGGGCTGGTAAAGTCCTGGAGAAAGCACTAGTCTTTGAATCACACCTTTAACTCCCAAGTTCTATGATCGTATTCATCCTGGCTCATACCTACTAACTGCATAACCCTGGGTAAGTCACTGATGCTTAGAGTTAGAAGGAACTTCAGAGGTCCCTAGTCTAACCTATACCTGAACAGAAATCCCCTCTACAATATCCATGGCAATTAATCATTCAAGCTCCACTTAGAGACCTTGAGGGATGGGGAACTTGCTACCTCCTATCCACTGGTGCTTAGCTTTAATTGTTAAGATTTTCCTTAGGTCAAATTAAAATCTGCCTCTCCAATTTCCACCCAAAGCCAATTAAAATAAGTCTAATCCCTCTTCCACAAGAGAGACAATCAGCTATTTGAAGACAGTTATCACCTACCCTTAAATCTTTTCTTCTTCAAAGCAGATATTCCTAGTTCTTCCCAATTATTCTTCTATGTCCTGATCTCAAATTGTCTCACTATCTTGAGCAACCGCCTCTGGATGTGCCCTTCCTAAAATGAACTCAACAGAGTCCAGATATGCTCTGACCTAAGCAGAGCAAATCAGAGTTATCTACCTTCCTTGATCCTGGATTTCCACATCTATAAAATGGGACAATAGTTACAATGATAATTCCCTACATCAGGAGGTTGATATAAAGAAAGCACTTTGTAACTTACATAAATTTGAGTTTTTATTATCCTCTTCAAAGAGCCTGTGTTAAATTTGTGTTTGCACATGGTGATAGGCTAAGCACCATATAGTTAGTTACATGGACCTAAGACAGGGAGCAGAAGAATTCCCTTCTCTAAATTAAGAAAAAGGAGGAAAAGACAAAAAAAGTTATTTTTAAAGAAAATATTATTTAAAAAAAGTAAAAATTCCTTTCTCTCGATGGCCACTCTCTCACAGGATAAAAAGTGATCAGTAAATATATGTGAAAAGCCAAATATTATAGATATTCAATGTAGAAAAAGCGATCAGTATATATATGTGAAAAGCCAAATATTATAGATATTCAATGTAGAAAGGAAAATCTGGGGAGGGGAGGAAGAGTGAGGAAGGAGAAAAGAAGGGAAAGGAAGAAAAAATGAAGAAATAGTGGGAAAGTGATGTATATCGTGGGGAGACAAAGAAAAAAGATGCAAGCAAGAATGAGGAAAAGCACAGGCATGAGAAAGCCAAAAGAAAGAGAAACAGGGGGAGAGACACACATGGGAAGCCACATGGGAAGGAAAGAGAGAGCAAAGAGGGAGAGAGAAGAAAAGAAACACACTCAGTAATTTATGAGGTGAATGTTAGCCAAAGGTTAAGCTATTTACTTGAGCTGTGGGATTCAGGGTGATATCATTCATCATCTCTTGCCTCTTTAAATTTTAAATTTAGGGTTTCAGTTCAGAAGTCTTCAACGGCTCTAATATCTAACTCTTCCTCTGTTCTACTTTGTATGGAATAACCAGAGCAATCCACTGGAAGAGAAATGATTCTCTGTAGTGCATTAGCGAGAGTAAGGACAGATAAAACCAAGCCAAGGGGTGGGCTAAATTACTGATCTGGAAGTTTCCATGACATCCTTGCTACCTTAAGAGTTTAGAACCTAAGAAGAGGAGTGCCAGAATAAAATGACAAGACTATGACCTAGTAAAAGCAATACGTCAACTTTTAAACTTTATAGTAAAATATGACAGTTGAGTATATGTGAAGACCACAGTAGTTTGGAGATATGGGGTGGGGTATGTACATGGTCATGGTGGAGGGTAGCCAGGAGAGTTACAAAGATTGATTCGACCACATTAAGTTTTACTCTCATCAGATCAGTTCAGAATTCAGTCAATTAAAAGATAAACATTTGGGGCACAGCTTGGTGGCACAGTAGATAGAGTACCAGCCCTGGAGGCAGGAGGACTGGACAAATCTAGCCTCAAACACTTACTAGTTGTGTGACCTTGGGAAAGTCACTTAACCTTGATTGCCTTCCAAAAAAAGTAAACATTTATTAAGCACTTACTATGTGCCACACACTGTGCTAAGCCCTGGCTTCAGATGCTCCAATTCAGGATGGAGGTGGTAGGATTTCAGAAATATTTTGAAATGTGAGAAAGAGATCACTTGGTAAGTGAGGCTTAAAAAAAAAGTTGTGCTTTGGGAGTTGTTCATCCTTCGACTGAAGTTGGGAGAAAGAGGGCCAGATGAAGGAAGCTTTGGGCAGACTTTGATCCCCAAGGGGATAGGAGGGTGCAAATTGAGATGAAGTCAGTCTACCAAGTTTATGCCGGCATCACTAGTCTAATTCAGGACCATAGTAGGAAAGAGCCAGACAGGACCTGTCCTGCCTGTAACCTTCAGCAGCTATTGGCCTCCCATTGGGCTATCTTCTCTTTTCTCCCCTGAGGCCATTAACATTTCCATCAGGAAGAGATCAGCAATGACCATGGAGTCATTCCCCGACAAAGAGGGGAGAAAAAAGTTTCCAGCCACATTTGCTCAGCAATTTTTCATACTTAATTAAAACCCTCGTTATCCTGTCAAATCCTGATCGTTTCCTGGCAATATTAGCACTCCTCCTGGGGTATTCAAGGGCCCCAGCTTTAACAATGGTGTCTTTTCCATAATTATATTACCTTCATTTTGTTTGAACGGGCTATCTGTATTAGTTTATTACACTCGGTCCCTAATTACATGGTGCTTATATTTTTACACCTAAGTAATATGAAACAATAATCATTCTCAAAGAGGATCGTTAGGTTGATGTATTATAATTTAAATGCTCATAAAAATTAGAGTTGCCTCTTGCGGGGCAACAGGATCTAATTACCTTCCATCCAGCTCATTCTTCCTTTCTCCCACTCAGAACAAGGCAGATTAGGTCTCTTCTTTGTCCCTTGCCCTCCATTAGGCAACAGAAAGTCCCATTGGTGTTCTAAGCAAGTAACACTAGGGGAGTCAATGTTCTCTCAGATTTGTCATTTGCAAAATGAGAGGATCTGGATGTAAACACTATTGCAACACTAGTACCAGACTGTATCAGAAAGATCGGGGCTAAAACTAAGAAAGGCTTCCCTTAATGAGAAAGGGTAAAAGGCAGTGGAATGGGTTACCATGGTAGGTTATGTAATTTTCCCTGGAGGTCTTCTCAAAAAGGTTTCATGTTATCTGGAACAGTTTGGGTGTATTGAAGTGTGGTATCAGAGAGATGGATCCTTTGATCCCAGAAAGTCCCATCCCACCACAGGTACCATTCTCCTCTTTGGGAGCACATGGGACAGTCCAAGGTGACTCCACTCACCCTTGCCTCCTAGGGAATACAGAAGTCCCAATTCTTCTATCCCACCTCCATCCCACTTTATCAGCTTACATTAGGATTCAGAAGTTCCCAGGCCCCAGGGTTGCTCTTTCAATTCCAGGCCAGAGTTGGCAGTCAATTGATTCCATTCTATTAGGATCCGTGGCTTGACATGCTGAGAGCACAACCACCATGTACCCAAAGCCATGACTCTGGACTTTACCAAACATTTTACCTTTATTTCTTATATCACTTGTTCATCCATGGAGAGCTGATTAACAAACTAAGCATTATAGTGTAGTGGACCAAAATAGAAGAATATGTCAAAGGAAATTTCAGGATGCATAACTAAATTCTGAGTAGCTCAGGGCAGTGGCTAGGTCTCCCCGCAGTTCTATTCAATGCTATTAATCCTGGAATAGGGTCCAATGGGGACGATGCTCTAAGTCTGGGAGTAATCCTATCAGCTATCCTGTCCATCCTCCTGATTTTTGTTAGTATGCACCTATCCGAGCTAAAACAGCAATGGGTTTGGACCCTGAAAAGTATTTGTTCTTAAAAATCTCAAGGAAAAGAAGCTCACTGAACCTTCATATTGCTCCTCCCAGAATCTCCTAAGTCACAATGATGGAATCACAAATAGCTCTAATAGTTGGCAAGTTTTTCCTTATATCAGGCCAAAATTCTATCCATTGGCCCTATTTCTGTCCTTCTTGGACAAATAGAATAAGTCTAATCTCTATTCTAAGAGACAGCCCTTCAAATGTTTAAAGGAAGTAATTGTGCCATCCTAACTCTTCTCTTCTCTAGACTAAATATCCCCAGTCCCTTCAACAAATCCTCATGTAGCTTCACATCAAGGCTGCTCACCATCCCAGCTGCCCTTCTTAACATCCTCCAGCTTCTCAGCATCCTTCCTGAAGTCTAGTACCCACAACTGAACACAAAGCTCCAGTTGTGGTCTGCCCATGGTGAACTACAAAAAGCCCTTCATTCTAGACATCACATTTCTCATAATGCAGTAGCTTTCTTAGCTGCCCTAGGACCCTATTGAATCATATTGAGCTTGCAGTCTACTAAAATCCCCAGGTCTTTTTTGAGATGAAATGCTATATAGCCATGCTTTCACCTAGCTCATACCTGCGGAGTTAATTTTTTTAAACTCAAATATAAGATGTTACATTTGTCCCTATTAACTTTTATCGTATTGGATGAATCCAATAATAGTCTAACATGAAGATTGACAAACTATGGCTCAAGGGCCAAAGCAGGCCTGCTATCTGTTTTTTTTTTTTATTTCATAGTTTGTCAACACCCCTGGTCTAACCTGTTGAGAGATTCTTGGTTCATTAACCTGTAAGCCAATGTGTCAGCTGTTTGTCCTCCTCAGTTTTGGGACATCTGCACATCAGATAAGCATGACCTTCCCTAAGGTCTAACCTAAAGATGCACTGATGTAGCTTCATGGAGATGACTGGCTTAATTGTTTTATTCAATGACTCCACCATCCCTCAGTCTAATTCCCTTCCTATTCCCCCTGCCCAGTGCCTAGCCAGCCTCCTGAGAATGTCCGAGCCCTGTCCATCACTTCTGACGTAGCTGTCATTTCCTGGTCAGAGCCACCACGAAGCACCCTCAATGGCGTCCTGAAGGGGTATCGGGTCATCTTTTGGTCTCTCTACATGGATGGGGGTGAGTACATGGGGATTTCAGTTTTTAGCTGGTGAGCAAAGAGGGTGGGTATTGTCTTCTATGATTAGACTTGCATTTCTCATCCAGCTGGGAAGGAGGGGATCATGCATGATAACAATCCCTGCTCTGCTCCATTCAGTGTTCTAGGTGGGACTAGATTATTTTAAGGGCTGGAAGATGGTCCACTCAAGGGCTCCTTATACTAATCTCAAGGCCAGGCCAGGTGGAAATGAGTATTAGTTTTATATGCCATAATAATAAGAAATAATGGCCAAGAAAATCCAAAGTGTCATATAATTCTTCCAAAATTTTCTATTTGCTTTTGAATAAACACTTTGTCTCCCACCTCCATACCTTTGCACTGGCTGTCCCCCATGCCTGGAAAACTCTCCCTCTTAACCTCTGACAAGCAGAATCCCTGACTTCCTTTAAGAATCATCCCAAGCACCATCTCCTCTAGGAGGCCTTTCCCAGCTGTTAGTATCGAGGGCTACTTTCCATCGACTCTGAATTTATCTTATATATATCAACTTATGGATATGTTGGTTCGTCCACTGGAATATTGACTTCACCCACCTCATGAAAGAGAGGTGACAGACTCAAGAAGTAGAGTAAGACATATGTTCTGGGGCATAGGTAATTCTGTGAATTTGTTTTGCTTGACCATGCATATTTGTTATGAGGGTTTTATTTTTCTGTCTTTTTTATTGTTCATTGAGATGGAGGTGAAAGAGAGGAAATAAATGCTTGTTATTTGAAAAAATAATAAAATTAATTGTAAACAAAAGAATGTTAGCTTCCTGAGGTAGGGATTGTTTTTGCTTTTTCTTTATATCACCAGTCTTAACACAGTGCCTGGCACATAGTAAGTATAAGTGCCTGTGGATTGCTTGATTGATTGATTAAATCAATGAATGAATTTTTTTTAACAAGCATTATTAAGTGTGAAAGGCACTTTTGCTTGACATTGGAGATAAAAGACAAAACATTAATCCCTGCCCTCAAAGAGCTTACATTGGAGGGTATGACATCTAGACAGATAAGTAAATACAAGACCATAGGAAGACCAAAGAGCAGTAATAACTAATGGGATAGAGAAAGGTGTCTTGTAGGATATGACACCTGGATTGCCTCCTTGAAAGAAGCAAAAGATTCTTACAGGCTGAGTTGAAGAAGAGTATTCTGGGAACAGGAAGCAGCCTGCATAAAAACACAAAAGTGAAAGATGGAATTCCAGTTTTGGGAAACGATAAATCCGCCAGATCAACTAGAATGTAGTATGTTTGAAAGGGAAAATATTATGAAATCAGTCTTTGCAAGGAGGCCAGAGTCAGACTGTGAAGGAGTTAAAAGCCAAATTGAGGAATTCGTATTTTATTCTAAAGGTTCTAGGGATCCATTGAAGCTTCTTGGGCAAGGGAGTGATATAGTCAGTCCCATGCTTTATTGGCAGCTATATGGAGAAAGGATTGGAGAGGAGAGATTGGAAGCAGAGAGACAAATTAGGAAACCATTGCAATAATCCAGGAGAAAAGTGATGAAGACCTTTCCAGGTTGAGCTTCTGAATTATCTTCTCCCAATACTCAAATAAGTTTTCATTCCCTAATACTCACTGGTTCACAATGCATAGACCTGGTGCAGAAGCATGGGAGATTGCTAGGGGAAGACCAGCACGAGATTGGATGTTTGCTACGAATCACCCACAAAATGGATGACCCACATGCAGATAATTGGGAGCTGACTGTTTTTACACCCAAACTGTGCACACAGCCAAGTTCTGGGTTTTGGTTTTCCCTGTCTGAGACCCCACTTATTGTCTAAGCAGCTGCCCTAAGTTCTTTCTTCTGTAAAGAAATGGGAGACCTGAAAATTGTTCCCCGAATAGATGTTCTGTAACTTTAGGGATGGGGGATATGGGTATGGGAGGAAGCCCTATTGACCTATGGAGTGAGAGTCAGTCAATGGGAGGTTAAAGTCCAGACCACAAGGTTCTGCTTTTCCAGGCCAGCCCTTTTTTTGCCAGCTATGAGAGCAGAGGCCCCAAGGATCTCAGACCCTACACTCTGACTCTCCAGTCGCTGTGTCACTGCTCCTTTCTCAAAGCAGGGATCATCAATATAAGCACAAAGACCAAGCTGGAATTTGGGCAATGCAGAGAACGTGGCACAGACTGGTTTAGCCACAGACTGGTCCACTTGAAGTAGGAGGAAGAGAATTGTGGCCCAGGCTCTGAGACTGGTGACAGAAGAGCCTCCCACAACCTCCACTCATCTTGTGTCTCTCTTTCGGCAGAGTGGGGGGAAATGCAGAACATCACCACCACACGGGAGCGGGTGGAGCTCCGGGGCATGGAGAAGTTCACCAATTATAGCGTCCAGGTACTGGCCTACACCCAGGCTGGGGACGGCGTCCGCAGCAGCGTGCTCTACATCCAGACCAAGGAGGACAGTAAGTGTCCTTATCCCAACATGTGCGCACATACACATGCACACATGTACACACGCACACACATACACTCTCACCTTAGCTACTGTACCCAAGACAGCCTACCTTCAGCCTTAAGCCCTTTGCAAGGGCAGAGATTGTACAGCTGTGGACTGGCCTGACAGACCAGTCATCAGGAAGCTGTAAGGACAGGCCACATTTGAGTAATCAGAGTGAAGGCAGAGTTCTAGTCCCTGAAGGACAAAGTCATGCCTAGGGTATCAGCCATTCAATCAGATTCAATCCAACAAGCATTTGTTGAGCATCTGCTGTGTGCTGGGCACTGTACCAGGTGCAGGAGATGCAAAGGGAGGATGGAGGGAAGCAGGGTTAGATAAGTATAATGCAAGGCAGGAAGGAGTGAAATAAAGGAGAGATGGAGAGCAAAATGTGGAAAGGGAAACCTTTTTTTAACTTAGGAGATCAAGGAAGTCTTCGTGAAAGAGGCAGTGCACAATCTGAGCCTTGAAAGAAAAGAATTCTCAAACACAAAGAGGAGGAGTACATTCTAGTCATGAGGAGTGACCTACATAAAAGTACCTTCATTCATTTAGCACCTTCTAAGTGAAAGGCACAATTCTAGGTACTAGAGATAGAAAGGAAGCAAATAAGCATTTATTAAATACTTACTGTGTGCTGGACACTATGCTAAATGCTTTACAAATATTATCTCATTAGAACTCACAACTGTAGGAGATAGGTGCTAGCATTATCCTTATTTTACAATTGAAGAAACTGAGGCAGACAGAAGTTAAGTGACTTGCCCAGGATCACACACCTAGTAAATGTCTGAGTCTGGATTTGAATTCAAGTCTTTCCTGACTCTAGGCCCAGCACTCTATCCCCTGTGCCACCTTGGAACTAAGCCTGTGATTTCATAAGTGTAAGGAATTCCCAGGGGAGGAAAAGCCTTGTATCAATACAGGTTGGCATCTTCTATGAAATCAATCATCTTATAGAGATGGCTAGTGTGCTGAGTCATTGTCACACAGGCAGTATGTAACAGAGACCCTGCTTACTGGACCAAAATGCCTTTCTACAAAGATGAATGAGACATGGTCTGCATCCTCAATGAGCTTACAATCTAACCCTAATATTTATGCAAGGGCACAAATAACTTCAATGCGAACTAGAATCTGACAAACACATGAGTGGAACAAAGTTCCTTGAGAGATGCCAGAAAGAATTATTGTGAGCTGGAGGCAACAGGGGAAATCTCATGAGAGAGGGAGCACCTGGCTGTAGCTGTGGAGGCTAGGAAGGATATTATGTTTTTCCCCCACCACCCAATAACATGCCAAATAAGAGAGATTCAGAGAGGCTAGAGAGTTCAGACCCCACCTGAACTGAGACTCACATATATTCAGCCAGTTCAAAATCAGCCCCTATCACCATCACTCAGGCGTGGGGGAGGGGTCTGCCCCTGCTCTTCTCCACAGGCCTGCCTCTTCAGAACTGCCCCTGGTGCTCACTGTACCTGGATTGTACCTGGATCCAAATGGGGGGGGGGGGAGCACCATCCCTGAGACCTGCAAGACTGACCTTCAGATTAAAGTTGTTTCCCTTTCTTTCTACACATCCCTCTGCTGACATCTCCCCATTCTCTAGGGGGTGCAATATTAACAAGCCCCACTCTTGCTGCCATTATAACCCCACCTGTTTGGGCTTCATGGGGTTGGGGCCCAGCCAAAAGTACCTAAGCTGCTGGGCAGCAGATGCTGAAAGGTCCATCAAGGTATTGTTGGGATAAGCTGGTCAAGCACATTAGGGGATTAAGGTCACAGATGTTCCAAGTCAATTCCGAGCTCTCCCACCCACCCTACCCCCACCTTGGGGAGCAGAAGCTAAAGGCAGCTCCTTTCCTTGATGCCTAAGGGCTGACAGAAATTGGGGTGCCTGAGAACAGAGTGAAAAGGAGAGGCTTCCTTCCCCAGGCCTGACACCATTCCTGAGCTAGAACCTGTCAAGAATGTAGCCCTTCTTTCCTTCCTGAAGTCAGAGCCTCAACCGTAGTGCCCACATAGCGGGGTAACCTCATCTTTACACTGTTTCACTTGACAAGGAAGCCCTCCCTTTCCCCAGGAGAAGCCCAAAGAACTAGACCCCTGCCTCAAGTCCACTCACTCTGACCATTTACTGGGCAACCCACATGTGAGTTGGATAGGAGGTGGTTGTGAGGAAGGTTGGAGAGAGAGGAGAGGAGAGAAAAACAAGAAGAAAGATCAAAAAGAATGTGTTAACTCATTGCAACCATTGAATTAGAATCTCCTGATTCATAAGATCAAAGATCTTTGACCCTATGACCATGAGACTTTAGAGAGATCATACATCATAATGTACAGATGGAATGTTGGCTTTGGAGTCAGAAAGCCATGGTTCTAATCCTGCCTCAAACACTCACCAGCTGTGTGATGCTGGGTAAGTCACTTGACCTCTCTGAGACTCAGTTTCCCTAATCTGTAAAACAGAGATGGTAATAGCATCTACCTCCCAGGATTGTTATAAGGATCAAAGGAGATAATGTAAGTAAGTCAGGTTACTAATTTTAAAGCGCTAAGTAAATCATAGCTATTACTATTTCTTCCAACATCCTGGAGGCCCAAATTGTAAAGTGACTTGCCCAAGGTCACACAGGAAGTAAGTGGCAGAATCAAGATTCAAACCCAGGTCCTCTGGCTCCAAATCAAATGCCCTTTCTGATAGGCCACATTCCTAGAAAAGTAGATCCTGCTCACCCAGGTTCCCAAGTGACCGGCAGGGAAGGGAAGCAGAGACTCCAGAGACTGCACTCCGGGGAAAATAGCAGTGGTGGGGGCAGCGAGGTGGCACAGTGGATAGCGCACTGACCCCGGAGTCAAGAGGACCTGAGTTCAAGTCTGGCCTCAGACCAAACACTTGACACTTACTAGCTAGGTGACCCTGGGCAAGTCACTTAACCCCAATTGCCTAAAAAAAATTAAAAACATTAATAAATAAAATAACAGTGACTGCCACTGACCACAAACTCTTCCATCTAAGAGCTGAGTGAGGGGAAAGGTAGAAAGTACCCTGGGGACCCGCCACAGACAGGCAGGCAGGCAGGCAACAAAGGTTCCCTGCACCTACAGACTGAAAAGTCCTAGGCACTCTCAATAAGGGAGAACAAGTAACTCAACATGTAATCCCCCACAGGGTGTAGAGAGCCTGGGGGGCTCAGAAATTGTGTTGGTGAGTTGGAGAGGGCTAGAGTACTCTTAGCAGGCTCGTCTGCAGGGAGTGACCCTGAACTGTGGTTTGACAGGGAAATCTCAGTGGGAAAGGAGGTAGGAGGAGGAAAGAGACCGTTGCTGGCCTGTGGGCAAAGGCTCGACAGTAAGAAGAGGCAGCTACATGGTGCAGTGGATCGTGTGACATGCTTGGAGTCAAGGCAGACCTGAGTTTAAATCCTGCCTCAGATACTTACGAGCTCTATGACCCTGGGCAAGTCACTTAATCTCTCTCTGCCTCAGTTTCCTCATCCTCAAAATGGATATAAAAATGGCACCTCTCTCCCAGGATTGTTGAGATGGTCCAATGAAATAACATATGTAAAGTTCTCGATGAGCCTTAAAGTGTTATATAAATGATAGCTGTTATTATTATTAAAGGGGGAGAACCACAAGAAAGCCAGTTGGGTCATAATGGCAGATGAAACCAGAGACAAGGAGGGCAGAGCGAGCAGAGCCTCATTGTACCCCACAGTCTCCTCCTGACCTCACGCTGCCCCCAGCCTCAGCCTGGTCACTGCCACACTTTGCAAACTTGGAAATGTTAGGTAGATGTCGGTTGTTACTCTTATTTCCCAGGGAGGCACTTCACCCTTCCCTGGGCTAACCTAGCCTTCTTCCCCACTCAGTTCCCGGACCCCCTGCCGGAATCAAAGCTGTCCCTTCATCGGCCAGCAGCGTGGTCGTATCCTGGTTGCCTCCCGCCAAGCCTAATGGGGTGATCCGAAAGTACACCATCTTCTGTTCCAGTCCTGGGTCTGGACAGCCGGTGAGTGAGCCTTCGGGAATGGCCCAGCTGAGCTTTGCCCTCTAAGTACAGTCAGAGGCCTGGTATTTCTAGCAGGACAAGGTGACCCCTTGAGCTGCCAGAGAGGGAAGGGGAGAAGAGCAGGCTTGCTGGGGGAAGGGAAGGAGCAGCAGGAAGAAGGGACAGAGCGTGTCCTGCAGCCAACTAGGTTGCCACTAACTAACAGATGTGCCTCTGGGAACCGCCCAAGATTTTATCCTGGATCACATTTATGATCCACGTGATTAACTTAAATTCCATGTGCCAGAGGGTCACAGCCAGATGGGGAGGATGCAGGATGAGCCCAGGTTCTCCAGAGCCCCTATGCAGGCCTCCAGGGTTACACAGGCCCAGAGAATCCGTAGCAAGACCAGAGGTCTGACAGATCAGCACTGACTCAGATACAGTGACATCTGCATTACCACATCTTCTGGGACAAAGCAAACCAACCTAGCCTGGACTTTGTGGAGAAGGGAAGGGATCTGGGACAGGGCAAGGGAGGGAATACTGGGGGAAGTTTCAGTCTCTTCAATACTGGGTCAGTAGTAGCCATGACTAAGGAAGAAATGATGGTCAAACTAAGGTATGAACCTAAGAAGGGAGTCAAGGCCTGGGCCTGCTTAAAGAGAGACCTGCCCCCTAGACTCTGATATCTAATCACAGAGGGGCAGGGAACGGGGGAAGCTGAGGAAAGAAGCCATTGTGGAAAGACACAGGAATGATTCCATGAGGGGCCAAGAGGGCTGGGGACCCAGCACGCCCTGTCTTCTTCCTCTGTTCCCTCTAGGAGTGATGGGAAGTGCATCCAGGTCCCAGACCACCTCCTTGGGCCTTTTGTATTATTTTTGCCTTTTCTGAGTTACAAAATGAATAGTTGGAAAACATCCTCTTCATTAATAGAACAATCACCGCACACAATGTGGAAAATCCTAGGACTAGAGAGCAGGAATCTTTCCCATTTGGGCCTTGAGCTTCTTAGGCCCCAAGATGGCAACTGAGTCAGGAGATACTGACCTCAAAGCATTGAGGCAGGAGCCAGTGGCCTCTATGTGTCTTTGTTAAGTCAATGTGAGCATATATTGGAGTCCATGTGTATGTGAGGTAACATGCATATGACTCTGAGAGTGTGAGTGTATTAGATGAGTGTGTGCAGAAGTATATGGTACATGCGTATGAATGGATCTACTTGCCAAGCTGTGTTAAATGGAAACGGAGCCACCCAGGGTAGGGCCAGAATGGCTCTCAGTGATACAGGAGTTTTAACCCGATGCTTTGAAAGGTAATTTCAAGGATAAGAAAGGAAGCTCTGGTCAAAGACAGAACAGCCAGGATCTGGCTGAGCTGCTACCATCACCTTTCCCAAGCCATCTGTATTTTCTATAACCTGGGCACAGACAGGGTCTAGAATTCAGGGCTGGGGAACCTGCAGCCTCAAGGCCACATGTGGCCTTCTAAGTTCTTGGATGTGGCCTTTTGACCGAGTCCAAGTTTTATAGAACAAACCCTTTTATTAAGGGGATTTGTTCTGTGAAGTTTGTATTCGGTCAAAGGGCCGCACTTGAGGACCTAGAGAGCCACATGTGGCCTCGAGGTCGCAGGTTCCCTACCCCAGGACTCTAGATACTCACAAATAAATGGATATACATGTTTGTACAATCGCAGATACACATGTGCCCACAAATACATCTATTCAAACAAATATGCAAACATTCAAGAATATACAGGTGCACGTATGTGACAGCAGCACCTCCAGGCCTGCCCCCTGCCTTGCAGGGCCCTTCTGGGCCAGAAGCCATGCTCCCCATTAGAAAGGCAGCAAGGGAACTCCTCCCAGTGCTGGGGAGGCCAGCGGGGACTGGTCTTGCCCTGGACTTCCCCACCAGGGCCACTAAAGAGGACTTCAGATCAAAAGGACTGTGTTCCTCTTCCCTCCCCCTTTCAAAATCCACTAGGTCCTTTAAAGCCGGAGGCTCTGGCCCATGTATGTGCCTAGGCAGCTGAGCAGGAAATCACCTTTACAATTGGAGCATGGAAAGTATCCTCCCACACCCTCACCCCACTGGTGTCTGTCTCTCACTATATACATGTCTGACCATGTCTGCATCTCAGTCTGTGCCCAGGCTGTGTGTGTGTGTGTGTGTGTGTGTGTGTGTGTGTGTGTGTGTATGCCTGAGCTGGGTCTGCACGTGTGCCCATGTGCGTGTGCCAGAGGCTGTGACTGCAGAGATAACTAATTATTCTCTCCCTCTGGCCCTACTACCCCCATCTGTTCCTTGGGCTGGTCCCCCTCCCCAGCCCTCTGTGCCAATTTCAAAGGGTCCCTGGCACCATGCTCCTCTCCCTTCCCCACGGCTGACCAAAAAATAAAATAAAATGAAAGCCAGCCCCATCCCTCCTGTGCCAGGGAAGAGGTTGACAGGAGGTCTGCAAACTGGTGCTTATCAAAAGCTCCTTCTCAAATTCATTTCAATATCTGAGCCACTGGTTTCCAAGGCAACATAATCTTTTCATCAAAGCAACTGGTAAAGCCACTGGGATCTGATATTGTTTTGTTGGCAACTTGTCAAAACTGTCATTTGGTTAAAATATATGTGTGTGTATATATATATATGTATACATGTACATATATAACATATGTAGAATGTCTATGGAGATCTATAGTGCAGCTAATAATAATTATTAAAGTGCTACTGAGCGAGGACCTCTCCTTTCACTTCCTTGTTTCTTCCCCTCCAAAGGTTTGTTGCTGGAAAAATGAAAGGGTAGTAATTAAAAGGTGGGACCAGGGGACGTAGCTCTAATGCAGAAAGAGGCAGCGGCTGCTGTCCTGAGTTCTGAGCTCTTTTCTTCTGAAAGGAGATCTCTTAATTCCCCTTCTCCACATTCTCATCACACATGCTTTCTAGACCATGAACCTACACACATAATCCATATGCCCGGAGACCGTGACAGGCCCCCAGTCAGGGGTCACTCAGGTGAATTTGACGTGCCTGTCATTGCCTTATAGGATCAAAGACTCTGGAGCTGGGAGGGATCATTGACTCTAACCCCTTGAATTTACAGATAAAGACAGAGAGTGACTTGGTCAAGGTCATACTGCATATGCAAAAAAGCAGAATCAGAGGAGCTGGGTTTAGTACAAAATGAGGGGTTTGGACTAGATCACTTGAAGTCCCTTCCAGTTCTAGAGCTCCTATGTCCCACCTTAGAGACCCCAGCCCTCCAACTTCAGATCTAGGACTTTTCTAATCATCAAGACATCCCCTAACTCAGTTCACCCAAGCAGGCCAGGCTGAGTGCCCATGGGTTCTGGCCCCTACTGATTCCTTTCCGGCTGGGTGAGTGCAAACAGGACAGGTTGCCCTTAGATGGATGCCTTCTTGAGGAGTGTACACACACACACACACACACACACATACACACACTTTCCAGGCTAGCTGAGTACCCTCTATGTCCCAGGAAAGAGGAGAAAGTCAAAGGTTTGGGGTCCTAAGTGATCAGCCCTGTTAATCTCTTTCCTCTCCTATCCCAACCCTCCCATTCATCCCACCCAGGCTCCCAGTGAATACGAGACAAGTCCAGAGCAGCTGTTCTACCGGATCGCCCACCTGAATCGAGGGCAGCAGTACATGCTGTGGGTGGCGGCTGTCACCTCTGCTGGCCGGGGTAACATCAGTGAGAAGGTCACTATCGAGCCAGCTGGAAAGGGTAAGGATTATCTGGGAGAGGAAAGAGAGGGGCGGAAAATGTTGCCGTGGAAAGTTTCAGAACCCCCCAATCAGGCAGTCTTCCCTTGTGCACGCGCGCACGCACACACACACACACACACACACACACACACACACCAGCCTCCCCCCACAGCTCCCAGCCTGAGCAGCCTTCCTTACATACAGAAGGCGCTGTCTGTCCTGCTCCATGAGCATCTTGTTCCAGATACCACCTCTGGGCTGATTGGAGCTCAGCCCTTGCCTGCGTCCGCAGGGAGGCTCTGCTGCCCCCTGACTCCAGGAACCCCTCACAGCCACCTGCTCCAACCCATGACTGGTTGCTGCTCTTCCTCAGAACTCCCATCTCCAGCAGAACCGGGCAGGGCTGGAGTCGTGAACCCCTCTTTTCAATTCCCAGGCCTCATTCCACCCCCATCCTCCACATTTTGAACATCTGGCACCATTCTCACCTCCCCCAGCCTTGTCTACCCAGGACTGATCTCCCCACCCTAGAGAATGGGAGCATTTTACACTGCTTTTTGCCAAATAGAGTTAGCTGTAAGATATCAGAATTGGAAGGTACCAGTTACAGTTTATAAAATACCGAGTCCAATACCCTTGTTTTATAAACTAGGAAATATCCCCTTTCCAACTCTTGTTCTCAGAACAGTTACCAGATCAACACTACCTTTCCTGGAAAGGACATGACTACAGTCCCTACTTCCTCCAAATTCCCTGTCCAGGATGCTCCTCCTTGGCCACTTTCCTATGTTGATTGTATTCTCCTATTAGAATATTAAGATCCTTGAGGGCAGGAAATGTTCTGGTTTACTTGTATTTATATCCTCTGCACTTAACACAGTGCTAGGGCACATAGTAAGTACTCAATAAATGTTTCTTGTGTTCATTTATTTTTTATTAAATTTGTTTATCTTTAGTTTTCAACATTCACTTTTATAAAATTTTGAGTTCTAAATTCTCCCCCTCCAACCTCCCCAAGATGACATGCAATCTAATATAGACTCTACATGTATAATAAATGGGTTTTTTATTCATTCATTCACTTACAGCTACTGAGTGGTAGTTGAGAATTCAAAGAAATTCCCCATTTTAAGAGTCCTAGTCCTTACCCCCAAGGGCAGCTAGGTGGCAAAGGAGATAGAGTGCCACCCCTGAAGTCCAAAGAACCAGAGTTCAAATACTAGCTGTGTGACTCTGGGCAAGTCACAACCCTCTTGCCTTGGCTTCCTCTTCTGCAAAGTGAACTGAAGAAGTAAATGGCAAACCACTCCAGTATCTTTGCCAAGAAAACCCCACAAGGGGTGACAGAGAGTCAGACGTGACTGAAAAACATCAAACACCACAGCCCTTACCCCCACACTCGGTCTGTGACTACAACTCCAATAGCTACACTTTTGACTTCTCCTTGTCATGAGGCATCTTCCTCAGCCTCCCTGAGCCCTCCTCCCAGTCCTGTCTCCATCCTCAAAGGTGGAAGTAGAACACAATGCAAACAAGCTGAATCAGCCAGTGCCAAGCCCTATGTAAGCACCGGGGATACAAAGTAAGGCAAAGGCAGTTCTTGTCCTCAAGGAGTTTGCATTCTAAAGGGGATCATATAATAGCTAGATACATACAGAGTAGATGGACGGTAATAGGGCAAGGGAAGGCACTAGCAGCTAGAGGACTGGAGAAAGGGAAATCTGAGTTGAGTTTTGAAGGAAGCCAGAGGAAATGAAGAGGTGAACCTGGAGGAAAAGCATTCTAGGCATGGGCCTGGGGTCCAGGACAACATCACTTCCCCGGGCCAACACCAACCCTTTTGTCAAACAATTGAACCATCATTTATTAAGCGTTTACTACGTTCAAGTTGCTAGGCTTGGTGCTGGACACTGCACCCCCACCCACCCACCCAAATACTGTTATTCGGTCCCTGACAACTTCCCCTCCCTCCTCACAACTCTTTTCTAGATAATCTCTCCTTTCTAAGGGAAGGGAATTCAGTTCATTTCAATAAGATTTATTAAGCACCTGTTATGTCCAGTGCACCCAGTGCTGGGTGCTGGGGGAAATACAAAGTTTAGATAAAGTGCCTTTCCTCATGAAGTTCATACTTTAAGAGGACATGTTGATACATAAATGCTGATATTACAAAATAATATAATTGTAATGACATAAGAAAAGTACAAAAGTTATGTTAAGTGAGATCTCAGGAAGAAAAGATGATCACCAAATGAGCAGGCCAGGGAAGACTTCACTGAGGAGGAGGTAGCAGAGCACAGCCTTAAAGGGTCCTTCCATACTGAAAATATTCTCCCCAGTGGTTCAGATTACAACCCATTCATGCTTCTCATCATGTGCTGACATTTCTCTGTCTCCTTCCATCAATACTCAACAGGAGTTCTACTCAACCTGTGTGAAGCCTTCCTCTAGATCAGGGGGTATTCACCTCAGATCCAAGACCTCCTAAGGGGCCCAGGAACTTGTATAGAAAAAAACACATCTTTAATTTTGCTAAACTTCTAACTGAAATTTAGTATTTTCTTCTATTTTGAATGTAGGCAACAAAACCAGACTGACAAAGAATCCATGACACATTAAAAGTTAAAAGACCCATGGTCTCCATCTCTTGCTAAAATGTAGACACCAATGGAGTACATTGTCCATCCATGTGGTTTAGAAACAGTTGAAAAATTACATGATTCTTAGTACCCTCTATCCCCTATCTATCTACTTCTGTTACCATCACTCAAAAGGATAAAGAACTGAAGGTCATTTTGTGTCTTTGTTTCATGAGTTGCCCTGGCCAAAGAATTAATTACCCAGTTTTCTCACTAGTGGCAAGTATCTCAGTTCTTAGCTAGGCTAGCCTTGGACAACAGACACCAACTGTCACCACAACCATACTTGAAACCTTTCCATCATGGTAGAATCTGCCAGGGCTTGAGCTCCAATGGCATACCAATTGAGAATCCAGGGTCATTTCCATGACGTAATGAGACATCAGAGTAGGACTTTGGACATTTACAGGAAAAAAAGAAATAAAGTTTTTCCTCTCTATCTTCCATTCTCACCATTCGATCACCTATTAGCCATGGCACCACTCTTCTTTGATTCCTTTTTTCCCTCAATTATAATGATTTTAAAACCTTTTTGTTGTCCTTAGCTTTCTTAACTAGTTTCGGCTCATTCTGAGCACCAACACTCCTGACAATGGTTTTCCTTCCATCTTCTGTACTAACTTTTAAAAAATCTTATGTCTTTGGAAATTCTGAGAGTTTCTCATCCTTTCTGGACTGAATCACTGTATAGAATTTGAAACCAGGAAATCCTACCTGCCCTTTCACTGAACCTTTTGAATTCTACAAAAGCTAGGGAGCCTGTCAAACCATGCCCAGTTTTCCTCAATTTCTCTATGACAAATAGTAAGATGGTATGGTAACTTCTTCCTAGGGGTCTCATCATTTCTATTTCAACAGCTAGTTCCTACTCATTGGTGAGAAACAGGACCAGAATAACATTTCCTGATATTGCTTCTTCCCTCTTCTGCAAGATGAAATTATCATTAAAGCAAGGCAAGAAACCACTAGCCTTTCTGCTTTGGAGAGAGAGAGAGAGAGAGAGAGAGAGAGAGAGAGAGAGAGAGAGAG